CTTTTCGCTTTCCTTTTGCTTTCTTTGGCCGTTCCTCTCCTGCATCTCCTTCATCTACTGCATCTCCTGCACTCTCTGGAACCTCTGGCTCTTTTCGCTTTCCTTTTGCTTTCTTTGGCCGTTCCTCTCCTGCATCTCCTTCATCTACTGCATCTCCTGCACTCTCTGGAACCTCTTTTCGCTTTCCTTTTCCTTTCTTTGGCCGTTCCTCTCCTGCATCTCCTTCATCTCCTGCACTCTCTGGAACCTCTGGCTCTTTTTGTTTTCCTTTTCCTAACATTGCCTTGCCTTTCCCTGCAGTGTGGCCTTTGATCACACCATATTTTCCCTTGACTGCTGATTTTCCCTTTCCTGCATTGTCTCCTGTGTTCGTTGTTTTGCCCTTTCCTGCATCACGGAGTGCTAGTAATTTGCCTTTTGATCCTTTGCCTGTGTCTGCCAGAAGCGCCAGCTCTGGGGACGTCTTCGATGCACATCTTCGTATTTTGTGTTGTGGAGTGACAAACTCTTCCTCCTCAGCCCTAAGTAGGACAGCAAACTATATATCATATAATGCCATTTATGGTCACACTTGCAGAGTTAAAACCATCCATGGACTGCTAAATGCTCTCAAGGGTCATGTTGGGCTGGCCAGAAAAACCTTAGATTGCACAATCATGAATTTCACGAAATTTCACGTTGGGGCTATATCAAAAATGATTCATCATATCCTTTTCACGAAATTTCACGTTTTCTGTTTTTGGGCACTTTCTGGAAACACCTGTAACTTCGTGCAATTTATGTTTATTTCATGAAATTCACGTTTGTGTCGTGAAATTCACATGGTTTTCGTGAAATTCATGTTTGTTTTCCTGAAATTCACGTTTGTTTCGTGAATTCATGTTTGTTTCGTGAAATTCACGTTTGTTTCGTGAAATTCATGTTTGTTTCGTGAAATTCATGTTTGTTTCGTGAAATTCATGTTTGTAATAAATCCAATTAACGTGAAATTCACGTGGTGCGCATATTCTGGGTTTCTCTGGTAAAACGTGAATTTCATGTACGATGAGTTCAAATCACACGTGAATTTCATGTTTATGCCCACCGTGATTCATGAAATTCATGCTAGATTCACGAGTTTTGTTTTGGCAACTGCCATCTAATTGCAGCTGAAAAGCAGGGACAAAATGTCCAAAGTAGATCTTGATCCCGCAGCGGTCCACAGAAGACAAAGTGCATTTTTCACTATACTGCATGTTGTATATAAATGCATGCATGGTCACATCACAAGAGAAAACGCACAAATCACACAGTATGTGTTGGCAGAAAACGCACCATCAGCGTTGGGCCGTGGAGCTGCACTTTTCACCTGTTTTCCCCTCAAGTTTTTTGAAATGCCTGGGAGGTGCGAGAGTCACCCCAAGACACCATCGATGCCGCTGTCATCGGAATCATCTCCAATGTCATGGAACTGGAGGCCAGCATCAGATTCGATGGGAGGTCTGGTTTCCTTCCTGGGCTGCATGCATGTGCACATGTCAAGCATGGTAGAAGTATAGCATTTTCCTGACCTGTATGGAGCATGGTCGTGGCGAAGCTATATTCCCATGAGAATAATTATTGCCAAGATGCACATGTTGGCTCAGAAGTGCACCAATCTGAGAAGAGGAAATGCACAAAGTTTTCAATTCAGTTGAAATCAAATGACTTAGGCAAAATGACAAAACATAAACCAGCCTTCAATCCAAGGTTGATAGGGTATACACCAGAAGCTGTCAGATGTGGCCCCCCTTGAACTTTAGGCACACCACGACGGTCACGGTATTTGCGAACCAGCTTCAAGTTGAGATGGGACTTGAGTCGTGCCAGCCTTTCCCTGGCAGGTGAGAAGGAATCTGCAGAAGCAACTGCATTGATCGCTGCAAGGCCAGGCAATTTGATTTTGAAGCCTAGAAGATGCACTGCTACTACTGGTGTTTTCAAAGATTCATGTATAGGCCAGGCCACCTCATAGGGTACAATTTCCAAATGTTTTCTTCTACATCGGAGGGTGTTGATGGGGTCACCTTTCTAACCCGACCAAAGGTGGAAGGTCCATGCACTTGTAAACACCTGAACTGATACAAGCTGCGAAAATCCAAGCCTTTGCAAGGGGTCAATTTGCGTTCCAAGGTCAAGAAGGTATGGAGCAGTAGTATACAGAGTCACCCGTTTCCTGAGGCAATGACACATTTTTTGAAAACATCAATGAATTCTGGTAGTTACTTACAAGAAACAAAGGGTGGCATTTTCGACAAGCTGCTCACTTCGTGCACCATATGCCCCCAGTGGAACATTCACAGCCTTGCAGGCATGCCTCCTCAGCATATCCTGCGAAGCAGCGACTTGGGCACATATCAATGATGGGCAATGGGCATAGGTGATATTCCTGCAATATAGTGAAGTTTGAAAGCAATGAGCAGTGAAGGAGCCTCCATTGGTTGATATCGCCAAAGAATGGTACTTTGTGGCTGCTCTATGCAGTAGTGGATGCCTTTTTTGAAGCAGTATTCACACCTTACTCACATGCTCCAATGATGAAGCCATGACGAAGATGTCACAAGTTAGACAATGTTCTTTGAAATTTCCACTAAAGCATTTGGGGGTGTCTCAAAATGAGGTGTCCTTTGTTCCCCTTAAAGAAACTAGTTTGGCACCAAAAACAAACACCTCATTTGGAGACATCCATTTGAAATCATTCGGAAACTCCAGCATGTTTGATGCTTGCCAAGTCACATGTAAACCACACGTCGGATCAATCGATTGGCATCCTGAACTCGCCTGTACCGCTTTGATCCTGCCAAACTTGACTGAATATGGACATGTTTTTCTATGTGATCTCGGCCCTGCCAAACTTTCACACTATAAGATACTATAAGATAAATATGTATGTATATATATAATATGCATATCTATCAAGAACAGATGGTCCATAGACATACTTGCATACAGCTGCATATAGACACCCCCCATTTCTCCACACCCATGCACATGTTGGACTGTTGGACTGTTGGGCAATTCTCCTCTTGCTCGTGTGTAAGAGCGACCAGTGCTGCCACGGGATAAAAACACCCATGTGCTGCAAGGTGGCCCACACCACCAGAGGCATCCCTTACGTAGCGTCCTGACCTGACAGCACATGAAGAAAAAATGAATAGAGGAAGGGAGGAATCGGAAACATTTCTGTTTTTTATGCTGAGAGGAAATAAACAAGTCTTTGCTTGGACTGGTGTTCGTAGAAGAAACAGAAGCAAGGCATGGTTTTCGTCCCCTCCTTTCTTTGAGTTTGTTGTTGGAAGCTCATGGTTTTGGATTTGAACGTTTGAAAAATAATGAGCAACAAAACCGTTATTTGTGTGTGTAAATGTATTATATGTAATATATATATATATATGTACATTTGGTCCTCTTTCAGCTACACAATGCAAGCAAGCTGCCCCTTGAAGAGCTGAAAGGAATCCCACGCACGTCAGCAGGTTCATCAGTTTGTTGTACAGAACCTCAGCCACAAGAGAAAAGCAGATAAGTCCTGGAATGCTACAAACATTCGAGGCAGCAACCTAAACAATTGGGAATGAAAATCCCCCATGCATGTATACAGCAACTATCACCAACTTTTGCACCAACCCAAAAATCAATTTGGATGCAGACAGGAAACATCACGCCTTGCACTGGAGAGATGGAACATACGAGCAGCTGCCGTTAAGTTCCCAGCCCCGGCACAGTCTTCTTGAAAGTGCGTCGCACATTGCTCTGTCACATCCCCATACGTGCTCAGCAAAACTGACAACACAGCGGCCAACTGCTGAAACTTCATGGCTGCACCCCGACCCTGCTGCAACCTAGCCAGGCTATTGACACAAAAGAAGCTGCAGTGCAAAACCAAATCAAAATGGTAGTAAATGGCAGCTCACAAATTTCAGAAAAACATCGAAGTTGGAAAAATAAAACCCACATGCATTCATGCAGTAAAACGAAAACGTAACGGCACAGTGCAAGGCTTGGTGGATTGCGCACCTTCAAGCCATGTTTTCCAAAGCCTGTCGCAGACACACATGCAACAAGAAAGTTGCAAACGGTAAACACACTTTAGCATACTGTAGCCAGCACAAGGTAATTTGCAAACCGAAAACAGGCTAATGTCAGATGTGTTTTCGCCTCTTGCTATTGCTGTCGCGTTTCAAACCCCAAAGCCCCTAAAGCTACCATAATTGCGCCAAGTAGATTGCTGGGCTTAGCGCTGAACATCAGATATAAAAGCGGCTGCCCTGAATTTCATCAGAGCACCACTTGCTGAACCCCATGATGCGCAGGCAGGGCACACAAAAACAAACCAAAACTATGAACAATATCAGGCCATGCTTGTGACAGTTTGCCAGCCCCAAGCCTTGACACATCACCCAACGGAAAACAAGTACAGGTATGACCTGACACACCTGCACAGCCTCTCATGGGAAAACATCCCCCAGCAACAGAGCCAAGCAGTCTAAGATGGAAACAGGTTTCCAAATTTCTAAGATTATATCTACAAGGTTGAAACCAAATAAAACATTGTTTGTTTTCATGGCTCCATTAGTATCGCCTGCGCTTCACTTCATGATCAGGCAGCGACTTGACAATTTCCTCCCGCTCCATCGAAATCTTCCATGCTGCCAAAGACTCCTTGTAGGTCAAACCGTCAGCCCTGGCCTTTTTCACGAAATCAGCCATGGCAACCATCATTGGCCCAGAACTAGGTTTCCTCTTCTTTGCAACCTCCGCCTTCTCAGACTTTGCAACCTTCGCCTTCTCAGACTTTTTGCGCTTGGCTGACTTGGGAACCTTTTTGTTCTGGGACGGAACTGCAGGCTGGGAATCCGTCTTGGCATTGGCCCCCTTCATCTCCTTTGCCAATCTTTTCGATGCTGCTAACTGGGCTTTTTTCGTAGGGTGGATAATCTTCTCAACAGGTGATGGGGCTTCCAAGGGAACAAACCGGGCTCTGGGAGATGGCGTCACTGGCTTGGGTGCCCGTGCGGAAGCTGCATGACCGCCATAGGCTCGTTCCTCCCATGATTGCATTTGATGCGCCCACTTGCGGTCAGCCTCTTCCCATTCATGTTGTTGCCCTTCCCAGTCACAGTCTCCCAAATTGTCCTGCCGCAAAACATCTTATCATGGGAAAAAATTGCAAAAGTTCAGGCAAACACCCCAGTAGGAGTTCTCCCAAGTGGGGATTGCAGCTCTGGTCCTCAGCCCCACGAACATAGACATTGTTGCCCTTGTAGCACCATGCCTAACGGAAAACAAGCGACACATAGCTGGCAAACTGAACTATAATTTCTGTATAATATATATATATATATATTCAGAAGCACAAATATGATTTCACAAACTGTTGATCACTAAACTGCCAAGATGGGAGAACACAAAAAATGAGAAGCCTCGTTGCCCATGCCATGCGTGAACTTCCCTGCCACATCCTGGCTGAAAATATGACAAACATGACGGACAAGAAGCAAGCGCCAAACAAAAGCGCATGGTACTTAATTTGAATTTACAAGCAGATGTAAATATGTATAAATACATATGTGCATAAGTTTCTAGGTATTGCTCAACATGATGCGTTTATAATGGAATATAACAAAGATGACATCTTTGACATACACCTGCACAAACAACCACACTGCTGCGCACCCACACCTCCTCAGGAGATGTTGCAGCCATCAGGTCCTGCAACTCTTGGAAATCGTTCTGATGCACCTACTGTTTATTGACCCCAAAACTAAAGTACTAAGAAGGCTAAGAGGGCAACATGGCATTGCACCATATTGTCAACAGATTGCCTGGGGAAACATGGCCAAACTAATTTTCACACAAGAATGCTGATGCAATTTGGCATGGCACACGTTTGCAGCTATGCAACCTGTCCTTTTGCCACTTGCGTTGAACTGGCATCCATGAGTCAGCATCCACGATGCCAGCATCCAGAAGCTTCTTCATGATGGCTTTGTGCCGAGCATCCTTAAATTAGGCGACGCAAGCTTGAAGTAAGCATGGCTAGCACATGGGTAGCAACAAAATCATCTAAAGTCAGTTGAGCAAGAAAAACGTTGAGGCAATGGCAGTAGAATTGGCCTTCCACAGCTGCGGGTTGCCCTTGGCCCATTTGATAAAAAGACAAATGCAACACAACGTTTAAACTCAAGAGTGGCCATGTTGAAACACAACCCCGAGGGCATGGCAGGAACAAATTCCCGCTGCCAGTCCGTTTTGATCACAGGGTCCACCTGGGCGTAACATGGAGAAACCTGCCAATGAGTAGTGGAATCATACCTATATTGGAAAATCATATTCACTCATGCTCCCTACAATAACCTGACAGATTCTTTGTAATCATCTTCGCATGTCACCTTTGAATTTCCAAAGTAAACAGATCAACTACAGTCACTAACTTGACCTGTCCCAGCCTCAATGTCGTACTCCTGCTCGCTCTCTTCTTTCCATGCCTGCCCATGACTATCTATACCCAAAGCTAAAACCCATTAGTAGCTCAAAAACAGCACGCCCAGCAAGCAAAATGCAAACATCAAACAAACAGAAAACGAGTCCAAACAGCCAAAACCCCAAGATCGGACATGACTCACCCAGTGGTCAATATCCACTTGGGTTGGTTCACCAAAAAAAGACCCCCACAAGTCCCCAAAAAACAGTGTTATTCCCTGCATTTTATAAAAAATATTTTGGGACTTGTGGGGGCCTTTTTTGGGGGACCCTCCCAAGTGGAAAATTAGCATCACCCAGTATACCCTGAAAGAAAAGTGGCTGGCCTCCCAGGATTCATCATCCCACTGCAATGCATTTGAATCCTGCAGCTGCACGATGTACACTGTCAGAATTACGCATTTTTTCAAATGGCATGAGATAGCATGAGTATGGCCTCTTCTCCCAAACTTGTAGACCATGCTTCGTCCTCTCAAAAGAGTGTAACTTTAGACATGATGCCAGGCTTGTCTAAAAATGGAAACTGCAATCTCAAACCAGCACAACACACCCATATACCATATGCCCGAAAAAGGCCTCTTGCAAAGACTTTACATTCAGCCTTGTAGCTCGCTCCTGTCGAATGAAACAAAATCATTAGCACAACGGTAATCATTAAAGCATGCATGTCACATACTGCATGTCCTCATCAGATTCAAATCCCATCCATGAATCACTGACCTGACTTTTTCTCAAAGATAAATCAAAGCTGCACAGTGTATGCTGGGTTACTAAATGCTACCCAGATAAAATATTCTCACAGCTTAGGTTTAGACAGCTGGCCACGGCTGATTGCCGGGCTGGTCTGGCTCCTGAAACTTATCCGTGGGCTCCTCCAACAAGTTGGAAAAACATGCATGGAAAGAAAACTCGACAGAAACACACCCTAACACAGATGCAGCCCTGCAGGCCCAGTGGACATCCTTGGAATTCCCAGTAGGCAAGGTACCATCTCCCATGGTCTCCTTAAGCAAACCATAAATCAAGAGAGCTGTACATGCCATAAATGCAGCAGCAACATGTCTCCAAAACAGCATCGTGTCCTCATAGTCATAGCCCTGTTCCCCCTGCCAATCCTGCAATTTCAGAAACATCACCGTTACATGTATTAAACAAATGCTTCGAACACATGCACACACACACACTGTCCTCATGGTGATATCCCCATGACCAAGCGTCCTTGTTGGAACCCGCTATAACATCTATAATGCAATGGGATTGGGACTGCAACTTATTGGCATTGAAACCAGCTGGATGAATGTTCTAGAAAAAACGCAGTGTCCAAAAAACTGCTGCCCTTCCTTCTGAGCCCACTGCATCATCTTGGCGAGATTCCCATGCCTGCTATGGAAGCACTTTTGAAATCAAACCCTATTGACAAGTAGCAGCACGCCCCAGGAAGTCTAGAAATAATACTGAGGTTCAAACATCGCAAAGGTTCAGCGACTCAGCAAATCCAAGTAAAAGGAACCGACCAAGAAAAAAAACAAGCATTCAGGCAATTAGGAACACACCCCTTCTTGCACACCCCATATCTTAGGAGCCAACTTGCACACCTTTGCTGAGACACTCCTGATGGCAGTCGGCAGATGCGAAGAACCAAAAAAGCCATACAGAAAATTTGCACATACCAGGTAGCATGAAATATGCATAGCATACATTCCAACCACAAGGAAACAGATTAACTTGTTACATGCACATGTGTGTGTGTTTGTTTTTCCAGGCCTCACACTCATCTTCGCAGCCGCCAGTTGCCTTGCAGAGTGCCAACAAATCAGGCATGTTACAATTCAAGGTTTTAAGCACATGGATTGCAAATCAGTGTCAGCAAGACCCCTCCTCAAAAGCCATCAGATTGCTTTTGCACTCTTCAACAAAGTCTTCATACTCCTACAGGTGCACATGTTTCACACTTAACATCGACCATATCAAATTTGTCGGTTTTCAACTCAAAAATCGTGCGTTGTTGCCATCATAGCTGTTATGCATACAGTGTTTGTTTTGTAACATCACTGGAAAACGATGTTAAATAAATAAATATATATATATATGCGTGTGTGCATGTTTGTGTACACATATACATGTATCTATCTATCTATCTATCTATCTAATCTAATCTAATCTAATCCAGTCGAATCAAATTGAATCTAATCTAATCTAATCTACTTAAATCTAATCTAATCTATACAATCTAATCTATATATCTATCTTTCTCTATCTTTCTCTATCTTTCTCTCTCTATCTATCTATCTATCGATCGATCTAGCTATCTATCTATTTATCTATCTATCTATCTATCTGTCTATCTATCTGTCTATCTATCTATCTATCTATCTATCTATCTATCTATCTATCTATCTATCTATCTATCTATCTATCTATCTATCTATCTATCTATCATTTGTCTGTCTATCTATCTGCCTATCTGTCTATATCCATTTGTCTGTCTGTCTATCAGCTGTTTATCAGTCTATCTATCTATGTATCTCTATTTTTTAATTCTATCTATCGATCTATGCATCTATCTCTCTATCTTTGCTCTATCTATCTATCTATCTATCTATCTATCTATCTATCTATCTATCTATCTATCTATCTATCTATCTATCTATCTATCTATCTATCTATCTATCCATTTATCGATCCATATCTAAAACGGCTCCTCCATAGAAAGGCCAGGGACAAGAGGGTCGGTCTCCTGTCACGTTCGTTCCACAAATCCCAGGGGCAGACTAGTAGGTCAGCATTGGCTTGACAGTAAAGTGCACATAAACATGTTGGCTTTCCTGCTCTTCAGGGTCAACACCTTCAGCATGATCCTGCAATTGTCCAAGGACTTCGAGATGAATGGAGAATGCCAAGCACTCAACTGCAACTTGAATGCATGCAGTTGTATTTGCTTCTGGGGTGCCTCCCATTCGCAGCACTGCTTTGCCTGCCATGGGCCACATGGCAAACAAAATCATGAAATAGATTCCAAATTCAGAACACTGTCGGAGCCGTTTCAGTTGGCATGAACCTCATCGTCCGGCCAATGCTCCGATGACTCTCCGAAGCCCTAAGGGTGAAAAAGACATATATGCATATAGTCCACAAATATCTCCATATATATATATATGTATATATTGAAATATATATATATATACATATCTTGATTTGAATATTAATATTTTTATATATCTATATATTTGTGTATATATATATACATATGTTGGTATATGTTTATATTTATATATTTATATTTTTTGGGTCCGGAATCAAAGAATTCAAAGACAACACTCGAGCGCATTTGAGGCAATGGCCCATGGCTGAGTCTCAAGATTGTCCATTGCAGTCTCCTGGCACAGGACTGGGCTCACCAAACCGTGATCGGGTGTAATTTTTTGAAAAGACAACTTTCTGGACAATAAAACTGTTTGATTGCTGTCCTTCTTTCGGAGATCCTTCAGGGGGAAAAATTTGGCCAGGTTGAGCCAAAATCTGAGCACCCTTTGACTATGGCCACGAAACCAAAACCCTTGTGAATCCAAACTTATCCCATTTAAAAGTCAAATTGTTTTCTTAGACATGGTTTAAAAAAAAGGACATGTTCTGGGGAACCCCTGCCTTGACCTTCTTGGCCCTCTGAATCAAATTCTTAAACTTCACAGTTTGCTTGTTCAGGAACTTTCCGAAAGGAACATGAGGGTCTCTGGGAATGGAATCTTTCCCTAAAGCCATGATCAGCTTCCGAATCACCAACTTGCAAAGGGCGTGAGTGAAAGTGCGCCCCTGAAACTCATTGCAAAAGGAGAACAAATCTTGCATGGACCGCTTCCTGAAGGACCAGCGGGGGAAAATCTCACCAGTTGTAGAAATTCTGTCAGCATCGAGCCGTGCTTCAAGGGTCTGTGAAATTTTTGATGCCAAAGCATTTCGTCGAATTTTCAACTTAGCAGCTGGCCCTTGCCCCCACGGTTTACGGTCTTGTTTTCCAACAGCACGGACAAATTTCTTGACCGGTGAACGGACCATGGTAAAAAAGTGGGGGACGTCCCAATCAACCCCAGTGAAGTCTTGAACCAGAAATCAACAGAGTGAAAAGGGTTTTGAAATTGAGCATGTACTGTCAATTCCTTGAATCTGTTTTGACGAAGTTGATCCCTGCAATCTTCCAGGAACGTGCCTTTCCCTCGTTGCACTGGCATGGCTGACATGAGCCACTGCGCAGCCCTTGACACAACTACAGTTTGTGGATCTTGCTTCTGTTTTTTGAAGGCATGTAACAACGCGTTTTGATCCCTTTAAGCCTTAGAGAATCCCACTTTGAAGGCTATCTGGTTGTGTCAGGATGGAAATGTGGCTGTGGGTCACAAACCCAATGAAGCTTTAAAAAAAAAAAATATATATGCTAACCACCCAAACTAGAGCGTCAATAGGTCAATAGGTTTGGACTCATCCACATCTGTCGTAGCTGAGAGCTCAATGCTGCCACTGAGCGCGGCCGGCTGGCAAAAGAGAAGGGACCCTTCAAACCGTGGCAGGCCTTTGGAGTCAAGATGATGTGGATGGAAGAAATCCTGCACCAGTTGATAATTACATTGTAAATAACGGGGTTTTATGTTTATAGCTACCAAGTTACCAAGTAGCTGGTGCAGGATTTCTTTCGTCCACACCATGTCACGTCAGTGGGACCCCAGCGTCGTTATTTCCCACATACAATCACCAAAACAAACCAGGGAACCGTGAATATATGTCTATATGCATAGATGAAGGTACATGTGAACCCAACATATACATGTGTTTTTTGACATTTATGTCACATAGATGTTGCATATAGTGCATATGTGAATAGATATGTGCATCTATACTATCAGCAAATATGCAATGCAGCAAGAAAACGCACACACACACACACATAAAGGTATTCACATTTAATGTTTGGCGAGCTCTGCAAGAGAGCGCTCTCCTATGGTGATTTCCCAACCAAACTTGCGTTTGGCATGACCAACAGTGGGCCAGTGGGGTGTCTTTTTTTTAACAAACGATAAAAACCATCACCATGTGTTTGCCCATTATAGGAATGCACAAAGAGGAAGAACCCAAGACCACTTGTTCCCACAAACATCCACTTGCATGCATATACACGTTGTTTAGGGTGCACAAACCATTATATATATATATGTGTGTGTAATATATATATATAATTATATATATCCTGTTTGGGCCAGGGTAGAAAAAGTAGATATAATATGATATAACATTCCAAGTGGATATACAATTTGCATTCTTTGTAAGCAATATGGCTTTGATTTTCGACCCAGGCCCAAAAGGTTTTTTTTTTTTTTTTTTTTTTTCGAGAGCGAGGCTGTGGTGCACACAAGTGGGCCACAGCCGGGAAATTCGTGACATATATCTTGACATACAGGTGCTGGTCCAGACAGCATGCACTGCAGCAGCGTGAAAAGGTGTTGGCTCAAACTGTGTCATTGAAGGGCATGCATACAGCGAGCGAAATGGCTTTGCATCAAGCTAAGCTGGTGTCCAGACGGCATGCACTACAGCAGCGCCCAGCTATTATATGCTCTTTGCCAGGGACTACCCTGATGCAATGATGCACGTCAAAGATTTAAATTGACGCATCAGTCAATTATTGCAGGCTATCGAGCAAAGACAGCCATCCCTGTCGTGGCCTATTACGGCCAAACAGCTCAGGCATTTGGTCGCTGTTGCAACAGACAGCGACTAGCACCTGCAAGTCTCAAAAATCGACTTTTAAAATACCTTTAAAAATACAAACATAGAAAGGTTCGAATGGCGAACAGAAAATGTGACAATCGCTGTATCACTGCACAGCGACCAACCAGAGACAATTGTGCATGTGTACTGCGACCACTGACCTTGCTGTTCTGCGTAAACAGCGACCAACCCACGCAGGTATCAAAAATCGAGGTTTGTGACAAAAATCGATTTTTGGAGCTGGTTCGAACAGAAAATGTGACAATCGCTGTATCACTGCACAGCGACCAACCAGAGACAATTGTGCATGTGTACTGCGACCACTGACCTTGCTGTTCTGCGTAAACAGCGACCAACCCACGCAGGTATCAAAAATCGAGGTTTGTGACAAAAATCGATTTTTGGAGCTGGTTCGAACAGCAAATGTGACAATCGCTGTATGCGTTATACAGCGACCCTGCCAGGTTCAAGTTTCGAACCTTTCGGTATTGTTATTCTGCAAATTTTCGACTATTTTCTGTATATTGCAGTTGCTGATACTTGACGAATCAATTCCAATCAATGCAAATTTGTACACCGTGCATTCAAATCATAAGAGCAAAGCTGCGCAACCCGGTTCAAGTATGTGATGGATGCTAAAAACCCATACCTCCTGCACATTGTTACTGCACGGCTGTGTACACTGTGCATTCAAATCATTTCAAGTATGTGATGGATGTTGACAACCCATACCTCCTGCACATTGTTACTGCACGGCTGTGTACATTGCGGATTCAAATCATAAGAGCAAAGCTGCGCAAGCCGGTTCAAACATGTGATGGATGTTGAAGACCCATACCTCCTGCACATTGTTACTGCACGGCGGTGTACACTGCGGATTCAAATCAAAGCAAAGCTGCGCAAGCCAGTTCAAATATGTGATGGATGTTGAAAACCCATACCTCCTGCACATTGTTTCTTTGTGCGCTCCACATTACATCATTAGAGCAAAGCCGGTTCCTATGCAAGTCGGTTCTAGAACATCACAAAATGGCTGAGGGGCGTTGAAAGCCCATACCTGCTGCATGTTTATTCAAGATGCATGTACTAAAACCTTGCATGGGCCCTGCAAAACATTGAAAGATTAATCTTGAAAGCAATAGCACCCAAGCCCACTGAAAATGATTGATTTATAAGGTGTTCCACGAGATTGATTTATACAGCTGTTTAACCTGTGTTGGTGGGAGAAGGCTACTGGCAGAAGGAGGACGACATTTTCCGGGCTTAGATGTGATGAAGCAGGATGGGTGGACATCATGGAGTTCTTGCACCATCCATGGATCTTCGATCACGAACAAGTCAAGACCGAGGATGACGGACTTGTTGACGTCGACTTCCGATCGGAGCGCGTCAAGACCATGATCAAGACCGTTTGGTCAGAATTCCAAGAGAAGAACAAAGTCCGCATCCAGTTCCTGTGCATCGTTCTCGATTCTACATTTGACAAGCCCGACGATTACCTCAGGAAAGTCATGGGAGTCGGCGATGACATTCATGATCTCATCGCGCAACGTGGTGAAGTCTTCCTTGCACCTATTGCCGTGCGTTCACCTGGAGGATTTTCAGCCCGTGGATCAGATTTCCGCCTTGACTACAGCAAGATTTGTCACCCGATCACAACGAAGATTGCAGACGATGTATGGTTCTGCTATCATGTTACCGAGTTCAAGAATGTGATCGGCATCATCAAAGAAGGTCTGCGACCTGGAGGACACCGAGGAGGGCGAACACAAGAGTGTTCCTCAACCCTTTTGTGCCATGGGACAAGCGATACAGGGAGATCCTGGGAGGACAATTGACACACCTAGGACAACCTCGCATGGTCCTTGCATTCAGCGTTCATCGACTCATGAGTCTTGGAGTCATGATCAACGCGTCTGGCCAAATGGTGGTGAATGGAAACATTCCCTTCTCCGAGGTGACCGCTGCATGGTATCAGAACAACAACTATGATTGGGAACGACTAGTAGTTGATTCTGGAAAGTTCCAATTGGTGAGATCATGTCAAGAACCAAAGGAGATAGCAACGGCGAACACGGTGCTTCGTGTATCCAAGGCCTTGCTGGACGACATTGACAGCGAGGACAACATCCCGTTCTATGACAAATTCGTCGAGGATGTTGCAAAACTTGAATCACTCAATGGAGCCCTTAGCCCCAACAGCGAGCTGAGGAACGACATCGTGACGTTCATTTCCGAGAACTACACTCCAGGAGAAGCTGGGCACTTGATTTGTCCAGCATGCCTCACTGAGACTCCAAACATTCTATCCATCTGCATCAGATGCCATGGATCGCTTGTCAGCTGGGGGGGGAAAGAAGCTGAGAAAGATGAAAGCACTGCCCCTGGAATGCCTGAAAGGGAGAGACAAGAAAGCGGAGATGGACAAGATGCTGAAGACGAAGACGTCGAGATGGAGAATGAGGACCAGGAGGAGATCGACAGACTGGTCAGAGAGTCGAAGAAAAATACCGAAGAGGCCCCGGATGACGACGTCGACATGACCGATACCAAATCAAGCCATGAGAGCGCCAGACCTGAAGAAGAACGTCGACGCAATGTACCTGACCAGAAGGTCGTATTCGGTGACAACACCAAAGAGCAACAAGAGGAAGAGGATGAGAAGGTTGCCAAAGAACAAGACCAGGATGAAGAACGCCGAGAAGCATGGATGCGACTGCCTTTATGGACAACAAGAATCATCCAAGCTTCGATTATTCAATGCATCGACATTGCCCAGAACGAGGACGCCATCGACAGCACAGCTCGTGCGATGGACTGCATGATTCTGAGCTACCTCAAAGATCGATATCGGCTGTTTCATCTATGGAATTCAGTGGCACCAGCCCAGCAGTACCATGACCACGTGAAGAGACTCAAGCTTATCCCTGAATTTGACGGATACATCCCGTACGCGGGCGAGACTGCAGAGGGCGAGTTGAAGGAACCAACGGAAGAGCAGCTGATCGCCTCATTCTACGCGAATGCCAAGAATGGAAAGATCGGCGGGCGCGAGTTGGAAACCTATTTGAAGGGAGTGAACGGTATTCGAGTGCTTTGCAAAATTATGAAGTACTTGGTCCAGATCGGTATCACCCCTCAGCTCATTTTCTCCAAGGTTGCTGACAACACGGACGAGGACGACGAGCGGCAATCAGAAGCACGACGGGAATCATCTGACTTCATCAGGAAGATTATCTCCGGTGCATTTGCTGCGCGTTCCTACGACTATTTTCGAGTTGCACCACCTCAACGGGACGATCACGTTCATATTGATCCTGTAGAACTGGCATGTGCAGTGACAGAAAGATGCAGAACATTTCATTTACCATCCTTGTGACACTCAACAAGATCGGCCTGGAGCTACCTCAGCAACTACGCAAAGTTTGGCAAGGAAAGCTCAAAGCTGTACAACAAAGCGCAGCACAGATGGCAACATGTCTCAGATCTCTTGATCCTGCAGAACGTGAAAATGCCAGACAATATGTTCGAGCACTTGGTGATGATCAACCCGCGGAAGAACAGGCTTCAGCGAG